CACTCTGCTGTCTTGAGTTACAACATTAGATCAAGTCCTAAGACCCAACTGTAGCAAATTTAGGTTCCTGGTTTAAAACTGCACTTATCCCTCACCTCAGATGGGACTTGAACTCACAATACCTGCCTTAGCAGGGCCGTCGTGCCTTATCCAATAGGCCCAGTGACTGCTTAGTTTACTCATCCCATAATTCTTTGTTTTTAAAGCTGTGGGACACAGTTTTATGTAGACATGAGGACCTGTATGAGGACAGTCCTCATGCAGTAGTAAGTACAAGAACTCACTCAGCAGTTTATCCACAACAAACAGTGACAGCTGTTGAAGTGATACAGTGAGACTTATCAAGGCTGCACCAGGGAACATAATAAACTCAATAAACTTAGAGCTTTTAGAATATTTTAAACATATGCACTCATAAGAGTAATGTGAGATTTCTGACAAGCTTAACGGTAGGATGCTGTTTTGGATCAGATGACCCTTCACATGTACCTCATTCAGAGGTCTATACCCAAAGTGGTAATGGGGTCTTGTGTCCAGTAGGGGGCGGTGTCGTAAAGCTGTAAGTACAGGTATTGCAGATCAACAACAAGTGAAGCTGTTTATCTATAAACTATTTAGGAACATTTACATTGACATTGTTGTTTGTGTTACATTTGTATCTTTCGCAGTCTTTTAAATGTTTGTATTGGTCTATTTTTCATTTAATGATTTCCTAAATATACATATATATATTTTTTTTTTTATATTTAACTAATTTGTTATAACTTAGTTCCTCTGGTCTGTACCAGACGCCCGTCTAGAGCAGACGGAAAACAATCCTCTGACTGCTGTTGGGATTTACGGACTGAACTTTGTACTTACATGAGTCTGTAGGTTTAGTATAGTATAGTATAGTATTGTACAGGTCAGTACAGTACAGTACAGTACAGTATAGTATAGTGCAGTAGAGTACAGAACAGTACAGTATAGTATAGTGCAGTACAGTACAGTATAGTATAGTGCAGTACAGTACAGTATAGTGAAGTACAGTATAGTATAGTGCAGTACAGTACAGTATAGTATAGTGCAGTACAGTATATTATAGTATAGTACAGTACAGTAGAGTACAGTATAGTATAGTGCAGTACAGTACAGTATAGTGCAGTACATTACAGTATAGTATAGTGCAGTACAGTACAGTATAGTGCAGTACAGTACAGTACAGTATAGTGTAGTACAGTACAGTATAGTACAGTACAGTACAATATAGTGCAGTACAGTATAGTGCAGTACAGTACAGTATAGTACAGTACAGTATAGTGCAGTACAGTACAGTATAGTGCAGTACAGTACAGTACAGTACATTATAGTGCAGTACAGTACAGTATAGTGCAGTACAGTATAGTATAGTACAGTATAGTATAGTGCAGTACAGTATAGTGCAGTACAGTACAGTATAGTGCAGTACAGTACAGTACAGTATAGTGCAGTACAGTATAGTACAGTACAATATAGTACAGTACAGTAGAGTACAGTATAGTATAGTGCAGTACAGTACATTATAGTGCAGTAAAGTACATTATAGTATAGTGCAGTACAGTACAGTACAGTATAGTGCAGTACAGTACAGTACAGTATAGTGCAGTACAGTATAGAACAGTACAGTACAGTACAGTATAGTGCAGTACAGTACAGTATAGCGCATTAGAGTACAGTACAGTGTAATGCAGTACAGTACAGTACAGTACAGTACAGTATAGTGCAGTACAGTACAGTATAGTACAGTATAGAACAGGACAGTATAGTATAGTATAGTGCAGTACAGTACAGTATAGTGAAGTACAGTATAGTATAGTGCAGTACAGTACAGTATAGTATAGTGCAGTACAGTATATTATAGTATAGTGCAGTACAGTACAGTAGAGTACAGTATAGTATAGTGCAGTACAGTACAGTATAGTGCAGTACATTACAGTATAGTATAGTGCAGTACAGTACAGTATAGTGCAGTACAGTACAGTATAGTGTAGTACAGTACAGTATAGTACAGTACAGTACAATATAGTGCAGTACAGTATAGTGCAGTACAGTACAGTATAGTGCAGTACAGTATAGTACAGTACAGTATAGTGCAGTACAGTACAGTATAGTACAGTACAGTACAGTACATTATAGTGCAGTACAGTATAGTGCAGTACAGTATAGTATAGTACAGTATAGTATAGTGCAGTACAGTATAGTGCAGTACAGTACAGTATAGTGCAGTACAGTATAGTACAGTACAGTATAGTGCAGTACAGTACAGTATAGTGCAGTACAGTACAGTACAGTACATTATAGTGCAGTACAGCATAGTGCAGTACAGTATAGTATAGTACAGTATAGTATAGTGCAGTACAGTATAGTGCAGTACAGTACAGTATAGTGCAGTACAGTACAGTACAGTATAGTACAGTACAATATAGTACAGTACAGTAGAGTACAGTATAGTATAGTGCAGTACAGTACATTATAGTGCAGTAAAGTACATTATAGTATAGTGCAGTACAGTACAGTACAGTATAGTGCAGTACAGTATAGAACAGTACAGTACAGTACAGTACAGTACAGTATAGTGCAGTACAGTACAGTATAGTGCATTACAGTACAGTACAGTGTAATGCAGTACAGTACAGTACAGTACAGTACAGTATAGTACAGTATAGAACAGGACAGTATAGTATAGTATAGTGCAGTACAGTACAGTACAGTAATCCTGTTGGATTCAATCAGATTATGATTAAGAGATGTTTCATTCCTCCCACAGCGGGGAAATGTCAGTGTTGCATCACAAGTTACAGAACAGCAGGAACGAAGAGCACATGGCACAAGATAAATAAACAATATCTCTTTACTTAACAAAATAAAATAAAAATCTCTAACTGTAGCATAAAGAGTTAGAGATGATGTGACCACCTACTGATTTCGACCAGTTTTCTCCCGTTAAGCAAAATGGGAATGGAATAAAATGTGCTTTGTCAAGAACACTGAGTTGCAGTAATTTATTAAATGTAGAAGAAGAAAAAAATAGAAAAACAGAATCGGTCGATGAAACAAAAATAGAATAATTCGGCCTGAAGTCCAGCATCACGTTTGGAGGAACCAGTCACAGGCTTGGAAAGTAACATTACCGATCGTGAAGATGGTGAATACTTTCATAATCCTCTCATACTTTTACGTTTTCAAGATTCAAGAATGTATTTGCCATTTGCAGTAAAACCACATTGGAAAAACTGTGCAAGACTACCCTATTGTGCACCAGACAGAGAAGACGGCACACACCAGAGCTCTTGCCACGGCGCTATTTTTAAGATTAAAAAACAAAGTTGACGTTATTGATCTCACACTGGAGATATTTACACGCCATTGTTCCAAAGATTTTGAGACGAGAGGATTCAGGAGTCGATGAACATGGAAGCTCGAGGGTCCAGGCCCCGCCCAGATGAAAGCGTAGGTGGACAGAGGAACTTATCATAATACATGCTGTGAATAACTCATATTATCTTTTATTACTCAGAGATTCAACCTTCGACCTCCCACAGTCTCTATGTTCTGTCTGTGGACGCTCTTGGGCAGATGTCAAACCACCCAGTTCTTAAAGTGAGTCCTCAGCCATTTGGTAGATCACCCTTTGAGCCCCTACATCTGCTTTAAAGTAGCCTTATGTAAGATTTTCATGTCTAGTCGGCATCAAAGGGCCCTAATCTGTCAAAAGGCATTAATAAAACATGGTCTTTTCCAATACTTCTTTAACTGATAACAGTAGTTTAGAGATATTTGAATTTCTAAATTACTTTTACAGCGCCTAAATCTTGTTATTGTTTTAATTTTGGTGTCCCGCCCTCCACCGTTTCACCAATCAGAAAGTCTGTGATCCGGGGGCCAGAACTCACCGCATCGAGCTAATCTCACTGGTAAAGTACCATGTGGCACAGAACTAAAAAAGGTCTTGTTATGATTTTCAAATCATTAATGACAAAACAAGGAATAAAACCAGGATTTCTATCTTTGTGAAAAAGGTGTTTGTTATAGATTTGTTGTTGACAAAACTCATGTCTATTCAGCTGTTATGGTCCCATCTGGATTCGTCTGCATATCTGGCAACCTGAGTCAGGGAGAGTGGGAGAGGCTGCAGTACCACTTTTGTCCAGATTTTTTACAAACTGCTCCTTTAAACTTAGAACTGAATCACATCTTAAGACCTGTTTGTTTCGGCAGGTTTCTTGCCTCACCTCACATCGGCCCATCTGGATTAATTTTTAGAACTGACTTGTTTGTGTGCTATTTTTCTCTATGCTTTTAACTGTGATGTGTTTTATGATCCAGGTCTAATCTGTGAAAGGCGCTATATATATAAACTTTACATACTGTACTAACTGACTTCCTGACTAACTATTTGAGGCATTTAACTTGGTTTTAGGCAATTTTTACCATCAAACTGCATCTCAATGATTTGGTAAAGGCCTTAAATAAAAATAATAATGATATTAGTGCTCCTACATCTAAGAAAATCCACCACTACAACTACTACTATTACTTCCACTTTTACTACAAATACTACTACTACTACTACTACTACTACTTCTTCTACTTTTATTAATAAAACTATTTCTCCTACTACTTCTACTACTCCTACTACTACTCCCACTGCTGCTTCTATTACCTTTGCTAGAACTACTACTACTACTACTACTATCTTCTGTATTTGAACATAACTCTTTAACATCAACCATAACTTAAAGGAGTCTTGGGCGTTCTGGGACGAGACGGTGCGAAGAAAGCTGTAAAACTGTAACTCTGAGAGAGGGGGGAGAGATGGGGGTGTGATGGGGGAGAGACGGGTCGTATGGAGCCAGTGGGTGTGTGGCTGGTGCGCTGGTATAAATGCTCCCTCTCCCATGTTCCCCTGTCTGTCTGAGGGAGCAGAGACTGGAGCTTTCTCTTTATCGTAGTGTGGATTGTGTATCGTGAAACAGAGCAGGATGCAGCTGCTGCCCTGGGCCTCTGCGCTGGTGCTGGCCGCGCTCTGCAGTTTGGGAACCGTCCACTCCTCGGCCTACGACAAGATAGTGACACACAGCCGCATCCGGGCACGAACCCAGGGGTAAGAGAGAGAGAGAGGAAGCAGAGAAGGGAATTGATATTTTAACAATAGATGAGGCAATATTTTCTTGATTTTAAAAGTCTAAACTGAAAACATGAATATAATTATCATGAAAAGATAAATATTTGAATGAGGTTTGACTGATTTTAGTTTATTTTTTGTAATTTTTGTGTGCTTGTTGCATCTGGGACTGGTCTGAACACAGGGGTAAGAGAGAGGAGCAGAGAATAGGACAATAATTGATTAGAAATACTTTCTTAATTTCAGAAGACTGTCTAAACTTAATATGAAAGTAAAAACTATTTAAAAAAGAGATTGAGATATTACAGATGTTAGTAAATTTTTACATAATTTTTTTATGTATCATGCCCACTGCTGTCTGAAAGTGCAAAAGTCACTTATTGAGGACTTGCACTGGGACTGTTAACCTTGCACTGCGGATGCCATTATTCTAAATGTGCATAAAATCCCAAATATCTTACGCCTTTTTTATTCATTTATTTGTATCAATGCCAGATGTACATTTCTCCATTATGAGATCTTGAAATAATCTTGAAATATGAAAAACTGTAAGAAGCAATTTCTCACATGAAACAAGAGAAAATTCTACTGGAGTTAATCTTAGACTGAAATACACGCCTTGTTCTGGAAACACTTGTTTCAAGACAAAATATGGATAATGATACATTTTAGCTTTTACCAAGTGATTTTTTTTCAAAGCCAGATCTATTTGAGTGCCATATAAATAAAGTATTCCCTACATGAGCAAAACCGCCCAAAAAACAAAACATGTGGAAGATTGTAGATTTTTTTTTTTACCACTTTATTATCTTTTGTAACTCTGTGTAGAATGAAATACATGTTTTAGCTTATTTTTTTATTCAGTATTTTATATCAGTATCTTTGGCCTCTTTTGCATCTTCACACTGCAAAAAGTGATGAAAAAGAAGTAAAAAAAAATTCAAATTCTGCAAAATGTGTCTTAATCTGAGCACATTCTGACTGAGCATTAAAACATTATTCTCCAATGGAACGAAGCAAAATGATCTTGTTTTAAAAAGATACAGAAATATGTCCCTTGGAATGAGAAAATAAAACATCAGTTCTTGAAATGAGACTAAAGGGATTTGTCCCGTTGGAGAATCCTGTTTTAACACTGTCATCATGGTGTGGGGTTTATTTTTGTATTTTTGTTTTATTTTGAAATTGGTTCTTTGTGATTTGGTTTTTAGATGGTTCCTGTCCTGTTTTCCCCCGTGTTGATTGTCTGCCCCGCCCTGATGTGTCTCACCTGTGTCTCTCTGTGTCTATATGTACCCTGTGCTTCTCTCCCCTTGTTGCTGGTCCGTTGTGTTGTCTTTGTTCTTGCCTTTGTTCCTGGTCTCGTTTTTGGATTTTTGGATGTTTTGTTTCCTTGGACTTTTGTTTTTTCATTATTAAATCATTTATATATTTTCATTCCTGCATTTTGAGTCCTCCATCATCTCACCACATGACAAACACAGTCAGAATGCGTCAGATTAGAATTAAAAACCACTATATTCAGGCAATTATTATCTCATATTTGATCATTTTTTGCAGTGTAGACAAGATTTTTCAGACAGAAAAAGTGACAAAGAGAGAACCAGTCTCTTTCTGCCAATCAGCTCTCAGCCCAAAGCGTCCAATCGTGACTCTCATGGCTCCTTCTCAGTGTGCAAAAATAAAATGCAGTCTCATTTGTCCACAACATTTTACTTTAAGACTCATCCTGTCGGGACATACAAGACTTTACGAGCCCCAGCTTTAAAGCAGCTCCGTCTCAGTCCTGTAATGAGGATATCATCGTTTCACTATGACATCATACTTAAAACAAAAGTATTGCCCGGAGATTTGCTTTGACGAGTTTTCAGATGGAATTATGTTCTCTGCAAACGCTCGGCTGTGTTTGCAGGAGCCACTTTTAATTATAACACACATAAAAACTGCTCCCTCTGGTGGCAGGAGAGGGAGTTACAGGCAGAAAGCAGTATTTTTATACCTGATACTTTTAACATATATTTTCTACTCAAGACATAGTTTCACAGTAAAAGAGGCGGTATATTGTCCAAATTGTTTTAATTACCAAAAAAGTTTGCTTCATATTTTTTGAGTTCTCTCACAGTTGAATATTATTATTGTGTATTTATGACCGAACGTTTTTGTTTTTTTAAGATAAGATAGACTTTGTTGATCTCACACTGGAGCAATTAAAAAAAAAAAATTGTTTTATTTACAATATTGATTGCCTCATTTCCTGTTTGACTCATGTGGACGGAGTTAGTAAAAAGTCCAGTCTGTCACTCCCGTATTCGTCCCGGAAACTGGATTCGTCCAGAAGTTCAGTTTGCGCATGTCAAAAAGTGTAATATGTCCTTAAGTGGTGACTGATTAAGTTTAGCCGTCTGATTAAGACAGTTAAGTTTAGGGTTAAGGCTGGGTTGGGGTTATCTTGTGGGAATGGCTGGTTAAGTTTAGGCATGAATAGGTAGTTTTTTATATTTACTTCCGCTTCTGTCCAGATTCCGTGACGTAATCTACTGCTGCGTATGCTCATTGGATCAAACTGAACTTCCGGACGAATCCGGGAGTGACACAGTCCATGAAGAGACCGCACTGTTTCCTGGTTACTTTCCTTTCCATGTTTCGCTCACGTTAAAGCTAAGACTTTTCCTGAACTAATGATTATATTTGTTATTTTACCATTTTTTCTCATTTTGTCTCTGAAATGTGATCTTGAGAATATTCACTTTGGCCTTTTGGGTTTTAGAAGGTGAAAAAAGTAGAACATAAATGGAAAAAGAATAAGGACATGACACTGAGTTCTACTGAGAGGGAAATATTGACTCTTTCAGTAACATTTCAACATTGAACACAGTGTGATTGAAGTTTATTTGTATAGCACAGTTTACACAAAAGGCAACTCCAACGGCTGATGAAAGATAAAGGCATAAAATCACAAATAATCAAAGAACATTAAAAAGAAAAAGAGAAAATCCTTCACACAGCGTTGTTTAGGGTTGAAAATAGTCAGAGAAGAAGCCTATCTCACATTCTCAGGAAGACTTTTCCAGATTTTAGTTGCATGAATCTGAAACGCTGCCTCCAGGACTAAACATGGAGTCCTGACTCTGGGACCAGCACGAGACCAGTCCCTGTGCTCCTCAGAGTCCCAGCACGAGACCAGTCCCTGTGCTCCTCAGGCTTGTACGAAAGTCTTTTCTGTCAGTTATTTCCTCTGTCTCTGTCGCAGGAAGAACGTGTGCGCTCTGCAGCAGGTCCTCGGAACCAAGAAGAAATACTTCAGCACCTGTCGGAACTGGTACAAGGGCTCCATCTGCGGGAAGAAGGCGTGAGTCCAGCCCTCATCAGGCACCACATCAGGCACAGCATCAGGCATCGCATCAGACACATCATCAAGCACCGCATCAGGCACTGCATCAGGCACCGCATCAGGCACAGCATCAGGCACAGCATCAGCCACAGCATCAGGCACAGCATCAGCCACAGCATCAGGCACCGCATCAGGCACAGCATCAGGCACCGCATCAGGCACCGCATCAGACACATCATCAAGCACCGCATCAGGCACAGCATCAGGCACCGCATCAGGCACCGCATCAGGAACCGCATCAGGCACAGCATCAGGCACAGCATCAGGAACCGCATCAGGCACAGCATCAGGCACAGCATCAGGCACCGCATCAGGCACAGCATCAGGCACAGCATCAGGCACAGCATCAGGCACCGCATCAGGCACCGCATCAGGCACCGCATCAGGCACAGCATCAGGCACCGCAACAAGCACAGCTCTGGTCCTTTCTCACATTTGACCCTGCACCTGACAATAAAAACAAAGGAATTCTGAAAAAGTTCTAAAAAGTGACTTAGTTTTCCATCACGTTTATTCAAAGTTAAGTCATTCATATAAGAACCATGGGCTATATACACAGGGAGGGTTTATGCTAGCGAAGAGGTACACAGGGGAAAAAGATTGTGGACCAGATCTTGGAAGTTCTCGTGATTAAATCTTGAAAGTAAAATGAATGGGATTTTTTTATACATTTGACCAAAACAAAGCAGTGTTTTTGGAAATCCATAACTGTTTTTTTGTTCTACATTCTGCATTAGTCATGTCCCAGTCGTCCCTATACAGTGTTTTCTGACCGAATCTACATTTAAATTCCATTCAATGTATTCTTGTAAAACCCACAACAGTAGTAAAACTCTCGATTTTGCCAACACAGATCAGAGAATCAGACACACGGAATGCAGTGATAGGAAACACATCGAGGCATTGGTTCATAAATGTGGTTGAATGTGGAGTGTCCTGTACCATCACTGTCCTTAGAGCCTCCTGCATCAGCAAAGAACAACTCAAAGAACCAAAGGAATATTCACCAATATGTATAATCTATTACTTTTTTGTACAGCCCAATATCTCAACAGCAGCGTCTCAAATGGCCTCAGTGTTGTTTTGACAGAAGATCACAGATTCACAGTCATTGCTATTGGCACCAAGTAGAAATCTGAATCTGTGTGAGTCTGTGGGTTCGTACGGGTCATCTGTCGACATTAGTGTAGTTCTTTTTCCTTTGAACAGGCTGAGACACGAGCCCTGCACCTCCTCTCTCTCTTCCTCTCCCTCTCTTTCTCTCTCTCCCTCCCTCTTTCTCTCTCTCCTCTCTCTCTCTCATCCTCTCTCCTCACTCTCTCTCTCTCTCTCTCATCCTCTCTCCTCACTCTCTCTCTCTCCCTCTCACTCTCTCTCCCTCTCTCTCTCACTCTCCATCTCTCTCTCTCTTTCTCTCGCTCTCCCTCTCTCTCTCACTCTCTCCTTCTCCCTCTCTCTCTCCCCCTCCCTCTCTCTCTCTCTCCTTCTCCCCCTCTCCTTCTCCCTCTCTCTCTCTTCCTCTCCCTCTCGCTCTCTCCCTCCCTCCCTCTCTCCTTCTCCCTCTCTCTCTCTTCCTCTCCTTCTCCCTCTCTCTCTCTCTCTCTCTCTCTCTCTCTCTCTCTCTCTCTCTCTCTCTCTCTCTGATGATAGATGGACACTTTTCCGACAGTTTAAAGAATGTGTGTCTCAGGTCTTGTCCTGCTTCACTTCAGCAGAAAACAAATGTATTTCCTTTGTTTGCATCTGGTGTCGTTTTCAGTCCACTTGTAATGAAAACAGTCAGGGCATAGAGGATTAGAGAGGGTATAGAAAATACGGTTTTTGGGTATTGTACAATATCTCCAGAATCACTGTGGGTTTTCTTGAGCATAGATCATGAACTGAAATGTATCAATATCTACGAAATACAAATAATGATTACGTGATTACTTATGAGAAGGCCGACTGCTTTGTGTTTATGGATATGTTCTTTCTTAGTTTATTTCAACCAAAAACGAGAGTATGGTTTTATTTTTACATTTCCATTGGCTCATGGTTTTACACAGACTTTATTTTAAGTAGTTTCTTTGTATGAACCTCCAAACCCTTTGGAAATACCGTGGTCATTTCGCTCCCGAGGAATCGACAAGTTTGTAAAGTCCTTTGAGATGGCTGCTGTTGTGATTTAGGTTTCCACACAAATGCATTGAATAGAACTGAATTCTATTATTTTTGTAGGTATGCATCGAGTCAAATTTTAACACTGCAAAAAGTGATGAAAACGAGTCACAAGTGTCTCAAATTTGGCACATAAAAATCTTAAGTCAAGCACATTCTGACTGAGCCTTAAAACCAGATTCTCCAATGGGACAAAGCAAAATGATCTTGTTTTAAAAAGATGCAGATATGCGTCCCTTGGAATGAGAAAATAAAGTCTTGAAATCAGACTAAATAACTTTGTCCCGTTGAAGGATCTAGTTTTAACACAGTCAGAATGTGTCAGATTAAGATAAAAACCACAAAATTCAAGCAATAATCACCTCATATTTTGATAATTTTTTGTAGTGTGTGTATGTTATTGTTGGTGAGGCCCCTGTGAGACTCCTGAGTACCTGTGCTGACAGACGGAGCACAGGGCTCACCTGGAGCTGCACACGTATGACTCATGTATGATCTGTTCAAACACGAGGAAAGTGAGAAAAGCTGTGGATGAAATATTCTTTGTTCGTTTGTAGTCGATGGAATCTGGACGTTTTGTTGTATTTTGTATTTTCCCTTAATCGCTCTCTCACTTTGGAACCGCAGTAAAATCTTAGTAGTTGAGTAGTTGAGGAAGTAGTTTATTGGATTTGGTCGTTATGAACATTATATCTCAGGTCACATGGTCTAGAAAGTTATTTTAATAAGACAAAAGTAACGAAAGATATTGCTGTTTAATACTACATGATTCAAAGTCTCTCTGATCAACTGTTGTTGCCTGATGCGCTAAGTCTGACCACGCCCCCTCAGTCTGACCACGCCCCCTGTGGTCTCTGTAGAAGGGAGTCCCAAGCGTCCCCCGCTTCCTGATTTCAATCGTCTCTCGTCTCGATCTTTTGTATTTTAAGTTCTTCTGTTCATACTATTTTTGACTTGTCTGAGTCCATTTTGTGATTTTTCTCTTTTGCAGTGGTCTGATGTTGCTGATTTGAGGTTTTCCTGTGTTGTCTTTACTCTGGTCACAAGTTTTGAAAGATCATATACTTTTTACAATCAGAAAAAGAAGTAGCTAAATTATGCCTAACCACTGTTCCATAGATCCTCTTTTTAACATGTAGCACAAAACTTCAACAATCAAAATGATTAAACATAGTCCAAGTGTCCTGTACTTATCCATATAGTTTATCTTATATTATTTCTATGCTGTTCAACAATCTCAGCGGTTGTGAAATATTGGCGTTGCACCAACTGACAAGAGATGACAAGAGAAACTTAATGTGAGGCCTTTAAATATGAAACTACACTTCAAATCAATGTTATTGTTAAAAGCCTCTGGAACAGGGGTCTCCAACCTTTTTCAATCCTAGAGCTACATTTATGAAAGAGAAATGGCAGAGAGCTACACCTTTAGCAGTCGTAACATGTGTAGTCTATATATTAAATACATCTGATCATGGAAAACATACATCCATATTATACCATTATACCGTATATAGCATCCCTGCATAAATGAAAACATAGTTAAGATAGATATAATGGGTTAGGGTTCATGTGATGACTCAAAAGTAAATCATTCAGGATCATGTGTATATTTGTATGTAAATATTCTGGAAATATTTGGAGAGCTACCTGAAAGGGGGTGGCGAGCTACTGGTAGCTCCTGAGCCACAGGTTGCATGGAGATCCTTGGTCTGGAGGGACTTCACAAAGTTTATTATTATTATTCCAAGTTACAGATTTTAAACGTCTTGAGGCGGCTTCACAGCAAGAAGGTCCTGGGTTCGGTTCCACCTCCAGGAGTTGGTAGGTTCCCTCCGGGTGCTCCGGTTTCCCCTACCACTAAAAACATGTACAATAGATCTGGCATCCACATCCTGTATGTGACCTGCTCCATCTCTGTCTGGAGTGAGAGACAAATGCAAACACAATTTTAAAGTGCTTTGTGACTCTGGTCTGTGAAAGGCACTATAGTTCTGTGTGGAGTTTGCGTGTTCTCCCTGTGTCTGTGTAAGTTTCCTCCAGGTGCTCCAGTTTCCTAAAAATGCATATAGATATCTTTCCCTTAAACATTGGATTCAATTCCATTCAATGTATTGATACAGCCCTAAATCACAACAGTAGTTATCGCAGAGGACTTCACAAAGCTATCGATTCACCAGCAACAGATCAGATTATCAAACACAAAGACAGGAAATGCAGTGATAAAAAAAACACATAGAGCCATTGGTCCATAAGAGGCAGAGACCAATGTCCATAAATATTGTTGAACTTCTAGCGTCCTGGATCATCACCGCTGCCGTTTGATCCTCCTGCAAAGAAAAACTTGGGAAAACTAATTGAAAACTTAAGAAAACCCTCTAATAAATGTCAGTCAGACCTTTTCCATAAACCAGACAGGGCAGGGAACCTTTTTACATTTTAATTCATGTTTGAAGTTTGAAGTTGTTAAGGACAATGTGCAGTTGCATTAAACCGATGGCTGCACCAGATTTAGCTTCTATCCACCTGTAGTCCTTGACAATACAATCATATAACTTGCATATTAATATACAGTTCAAATAAAAAGTTACAGAAGGTTAATAAAAAAAAACATTACAACAAAAGTGCAAGTTGCTAAAATACATAAAAACATAAAGCTCAATACAAAAGTGCAAGTTGACCAAGATACATACATTTTGATTTGGTTGAAACTTCCAGCTACTGAATGAGAAAATGCACAAACCAAAACAATACCAGAGACAGAAGCATAACCCACTGAATACATCATGTGTTTATGGACT